AAAGAAGGATTCAGTGCAGTTATCCAAGAGAGGCTGAGCCCTGCTTCATCAATACCCAGCATGCACACCAAACCCTGAGAGGTCTGTCATCTCACAAATATGTCAGAATGGTGTGTTGTGTGTTGTCTACTTTGGGACATTTTTACCTGGGTGCTTTAGGAACTGTTTTTTATATTCCTAGTTACCTAGTTAATGAAAGGTCTTAGATTCCAAGGTCCTAGAAGAGACACTGAAGTGGCTGGTCCTTTTGGGCAAGAGGTTTATTAGCTATTAATGTCCTAGACAGACAGTATGGCAGGAAGTATAAAAAGCTCAGACCGTGCATCTAACAAGGCCCTCTCTTAGAGATTTCAGAATGTTCCGGGATCCAATGAGGTGGAGCTGATGGGCGGCTCACAGCACATGCTTTTTTGTTTTCAGGTTGTCTCTAGATTGCCAGGCTGCAGGAGAAGGAAAGGTTGAGACCCTTTCATTGTGTGTCTCTTGTGTAGGATGATCCTCCCCAGTAGCACAGGATGCTTGGTGAACTTCCACTTGGAAATACAGGATTATGGGTTCAAGAAAAGTCAGAGTATGGTGCCTGTCATTTCTTTATAGAAACTGTGAGGTGCAGTGGGGGATGGGATGGGGGCGGATTGCTATATCTGAACAAGGCCTTAGTAACCCTAGCCCAAACTCAACAGTTAACATCTCCTTGCCAGGGATGGACGGATTGATGATCTTCCTTTTCCTGAAGTTCACTTTTTCATGAGTGAGATGACGATGCGTGTCATCAATAGCATGTGAGGCTAAAAGGATCTGTCAGCATCCTCTGTACCTGAGGCCAGCAGTGACTGGAGCAGGTACCATGGAACGTGAGCTTAAGAACTAACAACTTTGGCTCACAGGGGAATGGAGGTTGCTAAGCAAAGCTGCCTGCCCTGACACACACACCCCACATTTGTACATGGCCGCCATCGTGAGGTGTTGAGCATACACTATCTCATGCCACAGCAGGGACGGCTCTCATGGGTGGAGGGAGAGATGTGTAACACCTCGTCCTGTGTCTCGTCTACTGTCCAAGGAACCAGGTTGCAATTTATTGGCTCTTGACTATGAAGCTCCAGATAGGCAGAGCAAAGACACCTTTCTCAGGGAGCCTGTGGTCCTTAGGCATGAGGGACACAGGCATGACATGGGAGAGATGCAGGGAACAGCCGTCTTATAAGTACTTCATCTCCTTGAAGTTTTCTCAGGTTTGTAAGTCCATCAACAAAGTGATCTGGCAATAACAACCTGAAAGGATTTTTTTAAAAAACAACTGGCATTATAGTAAAGCATGGCATTTAATTTTGAATAAATTGATACCCACATTAAACATATAGTCCAGTCTCCACATTGGGAAGCCACACACAGTCCTACGGTTTTGATTCACAAGAATGGTAAATAAATAAGCAAAGAGAAACTTAGTGTTGTTTAGGTATTTTAAGGTCTAGAAGGCCATGTTCTTTCTGAGAAAATGCTGTGTAGATCATATTTAACTTAAGTCTTGCTAAAGTGCATGATTTTCTGATTAGTTAGGAAGGAGGCTTTCTTCCTCCTCATTCCCCTCCGCTACCCTTGCACACTCCTTCCCAGCAGTGTTCTGGAGAAGTGGCCTCACTGGGGAGAGCCTCGTCCTAGGGTCAGGAGCAGCAGCAAGGCCCTCTATTACTGTACCATGATGGTGGTGGCACTGCAGGAGCCTCCAAGGAATTCTCATCTCAGAGCCAACTGCAAAGCAAGGAAATTTCCACTTCCAAACCTCCATCTGGTTTAGAATTTTATAGAAATGGTCTTAGCAGAACTGCAGCTGAGTCTTTTTTTGTGTGTTTGCTTAACCTTTCATAACTTCTTAAAGCTGTAAACTTACAGTTAATACTCCAATATAAACATGGCTATTCCATTTGTATAACTAACATCGCTTCCCTGAACATGGCTGTGCGCAGGAACGAGAGGGAAGTGGGTTCACACTAGAGTCAGAAAGCTTGGTGACTCATTCCCACAGACAGGCTGTCGGGAAGCCATGCCATATTTGTGGCTCTATGTAAAACTGGGCTGGCTGCTGTTTTCAGGTGAAGCTGCAGTAATGGGTGGTCCTAGAAAAGAAACCCCATTTCCCTTAATGCCACCTCTAACGTGCAAAGGGCCCCTGCCTTGCTCTTTCGGAGACTTGGAGACTCCCATCCCTTCTCTGAGCTGGGGAGCTGTGCGGCCAGCCTGAGCTCCCGACATAGGTGACCCTGGCTCTAGTGCGGGACAGCATGATTGTCAGGTTGCTCATAACCTGTTCAGCGCCGGCTTCACGGAGCTATGCTTGACAGGTTTTGCTGCATTGGTGGGGGCGTGTGCTCTTGGCTGTCATGGGGCGACGGGGGAGCACAACCACACTCAGACCACAGGACTCAGCCAAATCACCCTGCTGTCTGTGCTGAGGGCAGCATGGGACACAGGGGAATTCAGTGCGGTCTATTAAAGGCATACTCTGGAAGTATCTTCCAAAAGGCCTGATGGAATCGTGTGCGTTGGGATTAAGAGCATTAAGAACACATCAGTCATGCTGTGTTTGGGAGGTGACTGAGTTTCCTTTCCCTGAATGAGTAGGAGCTTGAGTCAGCTCCATCCCAGGCCTTGTGAACAGAGACAGGTCCCATAGATGTGGGCCAGCCCATGCCACTGCCTTGGCATAGCTTCCGAGTGCACACTGTTAGTTGTGGATACAGTAAAACGCTCCCTTGCTGAACATTCTTTCAGGCTTTAAACTTTTTATAGGACCTTTAAATGGCCAATCCTGAGCTTCCCTTTTTGAGTTTTCTGTTGCTTGGTTCCCCTCTCAGACTGTGAAGGAAGGTAAAGATACCACGGGCTTCTCATCAGCACATTCCAGTAACGGTCAAGCCAGGTAACCAGGTACTTAAGAGACCACTTCCCAGGTCAGAAGATTTCTAAAGTTGACTGTCTGCTGTCCCTCAAAGAGGCAGTATGAAGAGTGGGCCAACCGGGGAAGCCAGCTCTGCTTCTATCTCATTCAGTTACGTTTCCAGACATTTCCACATGAGATACAGTATGTCCTGCATCTGACTTCAGTGGCAGAGGCTGGCTCCTTCAGTGGCTAGGCCCAGAGGAAAAGCTCTACAACCTTTGGGGTGCTGACGTACCCATCTCTCCGTGTCTGCAGTCACTCTCACATCCTCATCACTAAGGGCCAGCGTGTCCTTCTGTTCCCTGGCCTGACAGAACCGGATGGAGGCTTCACTGGGGTGGTCATAGGTCAACCAGAGAACATCATGTCCTGTATCCCCTTGGCATCCTTTGACCCACAGGCCTGTCAAACAAGGCTTCAGGTTACCAAACTTCCCTAATGTTACATCTCCAGAGACTGCAGTGCCGTGGACAGAGCGAACATGCCAAGTGAAACAGATCTGGCATGGAGAGAACTGAATGTTTCCAGGTTCCACGCTAAACATCAGCGGCAAAGTGGCGGGAGGAGCCCGGTGTGGGTGGGCAGGTAGCACTCTACGTACTTCTGTTATTTCCTTCGCTATGACAAAATCCCTGATAAACAAGGGAAGAGGTTGTTTGGGCTTGCTGCTTAAAGGGTAATAGTCCACGACCTCAGGGTAGGTGTGACAGCTGGGGCTTTGACTATGACGGTGAGAGCCTGCCCAGTTTGTCATGTCTTGATAGATAAGAAAGCAGAAAGCTAGGTAGGAAAGAGGTGGCCTGTAACCCTCAAGCCGTAGCCCCAGGTCCTAAACACACATGCATATATCCAGGATAGTGGTCCAAAAAAAACTCATAACCTAAAACATGAGGGTTGGGTTGGTATTTTTTTCCCCTCAGTAGGTGGGTTAACTTGACTACATAGGCCTTCAGCGGGAACTCTGCAGATGGCACTGTCAGAAGGCTGGGCATGCCTGTTCCTTCGGGCATCCACAGCCACCTCCAACAGCATCACTGTGAGGGACAATTTACATTCCAACCCTGTCAGCACTTACAGAATGGTGTGTGTGTAGAGCAGGCCATGAGATGTGCAAGGAAAGTACCTGAATGTTACTTATCTATTGCCTTGGGGAGACAAGTGCATTCTCTACATTAGTTCCAGGCCTGAGTCACTGCTTTTCTCATTCATACTCTTCGGAAGGTACAACTGAACCGCAATGACCTGCTCCTGAAATCCCCTCCAGCAAGGCAGGGAGTCATAGCCAGTGTCTGCCTAGAGTTCTGCAGGGTCCCGACACCCTCCCAAACCTCTGCAGCTCTGCCTTGCTTTTTCCTTGCTGCCTTCGTGCTTTTTGGCATTTGCCTCTCTGAGGAAGAGGCCTGGTTCCAATAAGACCATAGGGCTAGCAGGTGGAGCCCCAGATCGGATCCTTGGCTGAGGACAACTTCAAATATTTGACACATTATTTGTTGTAATTGAACGAATCCAGAAAAGCCAAGGAGACTGTCAACACATTAATAGAGCTGACAAGGTTTTGTAGCCAAACTGCTTCCTCAGCACAAGGTCTTGGTTCTGAAGGTACTCTTATTGGGTTAAAACTTGATAGCTGACTACTTCCAACTTGCAGAACTAGCCATGTCGTTGGCATCGGATTTACTGTGGGCAGAGCCTCCTTTTGTGACACCTGTTGCCTTGCCTAAGCTGGGCTCGTCTTAGTCCTGGAGGGGAAGTGGGGGCTGAGGGTTTCCTCTCCACCAAACTTAAGAGGTGATCAGACACTTGGTACCAGACAGAGTTCTAACTGCAATTGGTGGAGCGTCTGGGGCAAAACCATTTCACTCAACAATGAAACTCAAATCTTCCCTCTTTTCTTCTGCTAACAGGAACAAGAATATGGAGTGATGTGGGAATCTGACACCCAAGGAAGGAAGAGGCCAAGGCTGGTGCTTGACCAATGAGGAAGGCCCGGGATACACACGGGACCTGCCTTTCCAGTCACCCACCCATAGGTGGAGCGGTTCCCTAGGTGGACAGTGTGGGTGCAGAGCCCAGGACCCAGAGGCACGCCTCAGCTGAACCATGGGCTGCACAGTTGGAGTCTGTAAAACAGAGCTGAAGCCAAGGATCTAAATGTGGTCCCAGTTCCTGGAGGATTTGTTGGTCCTGTGCCTACAGCATTGGGATGCACGGAGAATCAGTGGGCTCACACACAGTCAAATGAAGAGCTTTCTGTGGACCACAGGCCTTTAACCTCAGTTCTCCAGAGGTGCCATACGTGGGAGCCGCAGCTCAGGGCTGTTGGACAGGCAAACTGCAAAAACAAACAAAAAACCTCTTTGGCACTAGGTGCTTTCACCTCCACCTCAACGGAGATAGCCTCAGTTCCTGCGTTCAAAAGTTCAGTGGGAGTTGGGTGCGTCCTCCTCACAAGAGAGTGGGAAGGGCAAGGTGGGAGTGGCATGAACAGGGGGTGGACATATGTGAAATCTGATCCGGTGCCAAGGAAAGGGTGTGTGTGTTGCCAGAGACCCCAGGGCAAATCTCAGCCTCCACCAGGCATGTGTGGCTCCTGAGCTGGCAGACTGCGCACAAAACAATCCGCTCATCTCATGGAGAACTCTATGGCATCTTTCGTCCTCTACCCGGGGACTGAGCCCGGGACTCCGGGAGAGGACAGTCTGCCGCTGCCAGCCGAGGAGGAGGAGGAAGAGGGCGCTGCGTCCCCAGCGCAGACACCCTGCAGTCTCAGCGCCTCCCTGTGCTTTAGCTCCGGGGACGACTCCCCACCGCAGTCCCGCGCGTCCGCCGCGGAGGGTGCCGAGGCCTCTCCGCCTTCTCGCCGCAGCGACCAGCGTGTGGTGGAGACGCAGTGGGAAGTCAGCAGCGCCGCGTCCCCAGAGTCCCCGGGGGAGTGCGCGCGCCCGGAAGAGCCCGCGTCGCCGGAGGATCCCCCTTCCCGCCACGAGCACGCGCCCGCTGTGGAATCTCTAGACGAACTCGGGGAGCCCGTGCCGGTGCCGCCGGGGGTCGGGCCCGTGCACGGAGAGCCCGACCTGGTCATCGAGGTGGCCGGCCGCCGGCTGCGGGCGCACAAGGCGGTGCTGGCGGCGCGCAGCGACTACTTCCGCGCGCGCGCGTCGCGGGACGTGCTGCGGGTGCAAGGCGTGAGCTTCACTGCCCTGCGGCTGCTGCTCGCCGACGCGTACAGCGGGCGCATGGCGGGCGTGCGGCCCGACAACGTGGCCGAGGTCGTGGCCGGCGCGCGCCGCCTCCAGCTGCCCGGCGCTGCGCAGCGCGCCACCGACGCCATGGCGCCGCAGCTGAGCCTGGACAACTGCTACGAGGTGCTGAGCGCCGGCAAGCGGCAGCGGCTGAGCGAGCTGCGCGACGCCGCCTACCGCTTCATGAGCGACCACTACCTGGAGGTGCTGCGCGAGCCCGCCGTCTTCGGCCGCCTGTCCGGTGCCGAGCGCGACCTGCTGCTCCGGCGCCGCTTGTGCACCGGCCGCGCCTGCCTCCTGGCCGCTGCGCTCGGGCCGACCGGGGAGCGCGCAGGCAGTCGTCCGCAGAGCCCGTCCGGGGACTCAGAGTCGCGCGGGGACGCGGCCGTTTACTGCTACCAGGCGGAGGCCGGGGAGTGGCGCGAGCTGACCCGGCTGCCCGAGGGCGCGCCGGCGCGCGGCTGCGGCCTCTGCGTGCTCTTCAACTACCTCTTTGTGGCGGGTGGGGTGGCTCCCGCGGGTCCCGATGGCCGCGCGCGCCCGTCCGACCAGGTGTTCTGCTACAATCCGGTCACCGACTGCTGGAGTACCGTGCGGCCGCTGCGCCAGGCGCGCTCGCAGGTGCAGCTGCTGGCCCTGGACGGCCACCTGTACGCCGTGGGCGGTGAGTGCCTGCTCAGCGTGGAGCGCTATGACCCGCGAGCCGACCGCTGGACCGCGGTGGCTCCGCTGCCTCGGGGCGCCTTCGCAGTGGCCCACGAGGCTGCCACCTGCAACGGCGAGATCTACGTGTCTGGGGGCTCGCTCTTCTACCGCCTGCTCAAGTACGACCCCCGGCGGGATGAGTGGCAGGAGTGCCCGTGCAGCAGCAGCCGAGAGCGCTCTGCCGACATGGTGGCCCTCGACGGCTTCCTCTACCGCTTTGACTTGTGCGGGAGCCGCGGTGACGCTCAGGCTGCCGTCGGGCCGGGCGGCGGTGGGGTCAGCGTCTTCCGCTACCATTGCCTGGCCAAGCAGTGGAGCCAGTGCGCGGCGCACCTGCGGCCCCCGGGCGCGCCCGCGGGCTTGCAGCCCTTCCGCTGCGTCGCTCTGGACGGCATCATCTACTGTGTGAGCCGCGCGGGGACCTGGCGTTTCGTGCCTTCTCAGGACACAGAGGCTGGCGGCGATGTGGGCCCTGGTGGCAGCTTCGAGCCTGAACCCCTGGGATCCCCCCTGGATGCCCGGGGCGTACTCTTCCCGTTTGTGCTCAACCTGCCTGAGAAGCCTGACCGCGCGGAGCAGGGTGCAGCCTAGGACAGGATCAGCTGGGCAGCTCCACTGTCCAGCAGCTGTGGTGGGGGGCTCAAAAGAGTGGGCTAGGGGCCCCCGGAGGGGGGAGGGCGAGGAGGGCTCAGGAAGGAGGGAAGCGGATGATAGGTCAGGCTGCCGGCCTCACTGCATCATGCAAACGCTTTGAGAATAGAAGCTTCGCTGGCTCCGAGGACATGTTTGCAATGCTGTTTTAAGCCCCGCTTTGCAGTGCTGGACTCCTCTGTTGCTTCATTTGTTTAGTGGGGTCCACGGAATAAAGTGTGGGAAGATACAGATAACCCGATGCCTAGGTGAGGAGGTCAGATGCAGGAGTGGACAGGGTGGAACGAGGAGCCTGCCCAGTCCCCTCCTTACCAGAAAGTGCAAAGTTCTCGAACCTGAATTGGGTCCTAAAGTAGGCCAGGTATCATCGCAGCTGCAGAGGGGAGGCCAAACCCTGCGCTGAGGTGGAAACTGATAACTAATAAGATCTATGTGACCTAAAAAGTTCACTGTGTGCTCAAGTTTTGCTAAGCTCAACTTCAAAAAGCAATTTATCAAGTACTGAAGGTGAGTCTTTGTTGACTGGCACGGTTGCCTTTTGATGAAATGATAGCAGGCTGCATGCTAAACAGGAAAGGTGTTCTGTTTTGAAAACAAAACAGCAAGGGTGTTTTGTTTTGAAAACCCTAGGTCAGCAGGCCCCACATGCTCACCCACTTTCCTGTTTTAGAATGAACTGGGGCAGTTCCTCCTCCCCAAGCAAGGAAGTTAAAATCATGTTTTGACATTTGCACGCTTTGAAATCTACTTGGTTATGTTTTGAACGTATCTTCTGTGGTTGAGATGAGGGAAATTAACTTAAAATTGCTTTCAAGTGTGTTTGGGGGGATGTGAAGTGCTAAGGAGTAAGACAAGGAGAAACATGTTTTGAATGTAGTTTTAGCAAGTAAGTGACGTTTATCCAGCTTCCAAAATACCCTAATAGAGTTGGAAGGAGACTCATAGTTAACAAGGCTGCAAGGGCCAAGCCCAAGTCAGTTCATTTTCTCTCCACTGTGAGGATGTTTTGCATCTTGAGAATAGACAGACAAGGCTTCCTATTTACAAAGAAGTTAAGGATAAAATGGGTGCTTCCAAGTAGCTGATTCACATTCCATTATCTATCACAACGGGGTCCCTACGCACTGAGAGTTTCTGGAACATAGTTAGAGGAAGCCCTGTGTGGTCTCTGTTGCAGTCAGTGGTTAGCTAGGAAACAGGTTATGCTATATAGACTCTGAGAAGTCTCTGTGAAGCGTGTTTAGATACAGCCAACTTGAATCTTGCATGACCCAGGGGAACAGAGTTTATAGTTTCTGTTTGTATGTTCTGGTAGCTTGTGCCCACTGGTGATTACTCATAAAACAAGAGAACGTCTTGGCAACCTAGTTAATCATCTTAAGAAAGAAAAACAGACTTCCTATTGCCTGGTTTTATTGGTCTTTTTTAGCCGTGTCCTGGAGAAAGGGTTGCAGATGAGCAAAGGGAAATATTTAAAGATACCTTAATATAGTAGCACATTTTCTGTAGAGCTTGGTTTCCACTGCAAGCACTTTTACATGAAATCAGTCCTGATTTTTATTCCTTAAGTATCAGACTTATAAAATACTATCATGTGACTTTTGCCTAAAAAGTCATTCCTCTGACATTTGCTTTTGAAGTTGGGCCTCTGGAGTGACATCCCCAGAGAGGACAGATGTACACTAGACAGAGGAGTCTTCCTGTGGGTATTTTGTCCTATAGAACACAAAACCCAAGGAAGTAAAAATGGTAAATGTATCAATTTTTGGATCATGGAAGGACATTTGCTCATTGATCATAAATAGCTGTGTGGCTAACCTGTTTTTTTGAGAGCATATAAGATATTTTATGGCCTGTTTCTAAATAGTGACCCCATATGAAAACAAACGCTACAGGCCCTGGCACACCTCAGCAACCATACTTTTTGTTCTTGGGATCTGGAAGGTTTCACTACCCATCTGTCTTAGATTCATTTCTTGTTGACATAAGCAGCTTAAGGAAGAGAGGGCTTATTCTGGCCCCGAGTTCAGGTTGCAGTCTACCATTCTATGGAAGTCGCAGGGCAGGACCTGGAGGGAGAAGGGAGGTTGTCCCTACAGCCAAGAGCCAGCTTTTAATGCCTACTGCTACTCAGCCCCCTTTCTCCATGTACACACTCCCAGGACCGGTCAGGAAATGCTGTGACCGGCAGTGAGCAGCTCTTTCCCTTTCAATTAATGCATTCACAGTAACTCCCAACAGCCACGCTTAGGAGTCCCGCCTTCCAGGTGACTCTGGATCCTGCCAGTTAACACTTAACTGTTGCCCCCGGCACAGATGGAAGTGAGGTTTGGTAGCGAGGGGAGCAGGCATCGCTGAGCTGTGTCTGCAGTGTGTGAGATGGGGTAGGTCCTTTCATGTTCTCCGTGCTGGTCACACTGCACCTAACTCCACCTACGAGGGTTGGTGTGAGCACAGACATGACTGTTGGGTAAGAGTCAAATACGGCTAACTTGTTTATGACACCCATTCACAATTCTCAGGACACGAACCCTCGCACGCACGCACACACACATCCCAAGTGTTTGAAAGAACAGTGCCATCTTAAGGGGAAAATGATTGACACACACGAAAAGACTGACCTTTTGTTTGCTTGATGGGTAATTATGTTTATATTGCCAGGGTTCGTTTGGAATCCTAGGCAACGAGCTAATGTTTCTCGATTTTCTTTCTGTTCTGTTTCGGGCTTTGTCACGGGACAGGCCCCACCTCTGGCGAGACACTTGGCCGCTCTGTGGACTTGGAATGTGATGATTCGGTTTCTAAGGAAATGATGGCAGCAGTTTCTCTTACTCTAAGAACATGAATGTTGTGGAAAGCTTGTTGGCTGCTTTAGTGTCGTTTCTTACCTGGATCGGTTTTATTACATAAGGCGGAGAGTGAACAGGGTCGCTCTAGTAATCCCGCCGCTGACAGCTGCCTGTTAGCAAACTTTGTCCAGTGTTGAAGCCGAATGCCTTCGAGGGTCAGCTGCTTTCCGCTGGAGCTGGGGTAGAGTCAGGACAGGATCGTGTGGAAGGCCTCAGTGGCGGGCTCCTTAGCACAGCCTTTCAACTTACAGCAAGCTTTCATTTTGATGCTCTTTTTTTTTTTTTTTAAGTGTCCCCATATCTCCTGTGATATCATTCACAAGAAGGGAATGACTCGAGCTAAAAGTGGAACCGTTTATGCCAACATGCCAAGCGCTCTAGCTGCAACTGCATTTATCTGAGCAGTCGCATTATTTATGCCGTGCCCACATCCATGAAGAGGGCAGCACTGTGAGATGCTGAAGGACCTGGCAGGAAACGGGTCCTGGCAGCAGCTTCCGCCGGCTTTGTGGACAGGTTTGGGTTGAAGTGAAAGTCTAGGTGTATTCTAATGCGAGATTGCAGCCCTGCCCCACCCCTTGCCCCATGCTTGGTAAAGCTTTGACTAGTAACTACTAACCTAGTACTCACATGCCACCATTTGCTAAAGATTCACAGCTGTTTAGGGTAAAGTCGGACCAGCTGTTACTGAATGTGTAGCTAAAGTGCTAACGCTTGAGTCTTATCCTAGGCATAAATACTGTAAAACCTTGTGTGTTTGTCGCCTATGCCAAGACGAAATAAACCATGCGGAAACTTCCAGTGCTCCTGAATTTTGTTGTGCCTTCTCCTCTCTCTGAGCCCCAGACTGGCAGGTGTGTTGTATCCCCATAATAACTGGGTTCTAATAAGTCTCAAGAGACCTAGGGTTAATGTCACTGCAGCCGGCCACCATGAATGTTGAGGTTTCCTCTACTTCTCAGTCAGTTTCAGAATGTTCACAACCTCCATGTTTTTTTTACTTATCCTCATAGCTAGCCAGGTCACAGCCTGCTCCAGTCCCTTGAGAGGCTGGGGTTATGGATCCATGAGAGCTGTGTGTGGGATCGTAAGGTCCACGAGACTGCCAGAACCAAAGAGTGCTCACTGCATGCCGCAAAGCCACTGGGTGGATATGGGGATGGGGTATCTAGGGCAGAGTGAGAGTGGGCCAAACCAGCCCCTGCCTGTTTATTCATTTATTTAATCACTTTACAGCCTGATCCCAGCCCCCTCCTTCCTCTCCTTCCAGTCCCACCCTCATACTCCCTTCCCCCATTCCCCTCTGCTTCTTCTTAGGGAAGGGGAGGCCTTCGGGGGTACCAGCCCACACTGGCATCTCAGGTTGCATCAGGACTAAGTGCATCCCCTCCCACTGAGGCTAGACAAGGCAGCCTAGCCAGGGGGAAGGGATCCAAAGGCAGCCAACAGTCAGAGACAGCCCCTACTCCCATTGTTAGGGGTCCCACATGATGACCAAGCTACATATCTGCTACATATGTGTAGGGAGTCTAGGTCCACCCATGCATGCTCTTTGGTTGGTGGTTCAGTCTCTGTGAGTCCCCATGGGCCCAAGTTAGTTTACTCTGTAGGTCTTCTTGTGATGTCCTGAGCCAAGCCAGGCCTTGGCTGTGGCTCCTGTAGGGAACAGGCAGCGCAGAGCAGACTGCTCATTGTTGGCAAGTGTGACTGATTCTGGGTTCTGGGCTTTGAGGGTTGTCTCTGATTCCCTGGCTCTGTCTAGCCTTTGGGGTCTTCTCTGATTCCTTAGCTCTGTCTGGCCTCTGGAGTCCTCTCTAATTCCCTGGCTCTGTCTGGCCTTTGGGGTTCTCTCCAACTCTCTAGCCCTGTCTAGCCTTTTGTTGTTCCTCTCTGATTCCCTGAATCTGGCTCTGGGCAGCTCAGAGCCTAGGAGACATAGTTTTGCATCTGAAAGTTAGAGAAGGGTGTGTGTGGGTGGGTTGGTCTGTCTGAGGGATGTGTTAGCCAAACCCCATGCTATTTTTCCTAGGAACTGACTGATTGGGGTGAGGTGGGGGTGTCTCACCCCAGCAGCAAGCTCTATCATGTCAATACATCTTAAAACAGAGAAATACAAGATATAGTTACATCTATCAGCCACCCCTCTTGGAGAGGGTTCATGGGGAACTGGAAATGTCTTGGCATTCCCTTGATTCCACAGTGTATTGGGACCGGGGGCCTCCTACAACACATGGCCTTCTGACACCCCCAGGAAGCTCATTTTAAACCAGGATGGGCTCAGCAGCTGAGAAGAGAGGACCCCACTGAAGAAGGGACCCTACCGAACAGAGAGGATCCTGCCAAGCAGAGGGAACCAGGTAAGCTGAGGAGACTCAGATGTGCAGAGCAGATCCAGTCAAACATAGGACCCACGGGAGCATGGATGACGAAGATGAGTCTGGGACACCTCGATGCATGGGTATTGCTTACAGTCTGGTTAAGAAGAAGTTTGGGATTGGCTTCAGAAGGAGTCTCGATCAGGTGAGTTTCGCCAGTCCTGGGCAGGGGCCACTGAGAAGGGAAGCCCAACCTCTTAGCCACAAAGCATGCTCTTTGGAGAGGCAGAACCCAGGAGCAGCCTAGCAGGGAGGGAGGGCGTCTCTGTTCCCTCCTATGTGGCATTGGTGTAATGAAGGGAGTGGTCACCAGCCTGCTGTTAAGGAGATGGCCCTGAACAGCTCAAGCCTCTCTGTAGTTACTCATTTCAAAGCCACAAAGCATACAATTTCAGTTTTATTTCCTCAGATATGTTCCAAGAAACTAGATAATGATTCCCTGAAAGTTTTTTTTCACAAGTTTTCTTCTCATACGCTTTATTTTCCTTAGGCAGATATTTAACCTTTTGGCCTCATAGTTAAGCGCATCTCTGTGGTCACTGTGGCTAGCACCCTGTAACTAAACACCTCGCTGGCAGCCTATGTAATGGACTTTACACGTTTTTACTGACTCTTCTCTGACACTATCTGCATTTCTGTCCCATGCAACCATAGCCAAGATAAGGGGATTTATTCTGTTGGCACAAAAGCTGGTAGACTCCAACCCTTCCTGTCTCCTTACTGCCTGAGATTGTGGTGCCTACAGACTAAGTCCTTGCTCCTGCACTAACTAACGTCCTCATGCTCACGTGTGTTCATTAACCTCTCTGAGCCATTCTTGCAAGGGCTGTTTCCTGAGACAGGATACAGTGTGCTTTTCTGAGAATAATTACATGCTTCAAGAGACTATACGATCTCTATTTTGTCTTTCTTAAAACTTTCCAGGGTTTTGAGTTGCTTTGGGAAAATTATCTCAATCCCATCACATATTTTTAACAAATCAATCTTAGAGTTATTAAGAGATTTCTATTGTGCCACTGCTGTACCCATTACAGACATAGTGAAAGGAAGGGCTGCCAAGAGCACACACAGGAAAGGGACCACCCCATGGAAGTCCCAGGAAAAACAGCAGAGGTTGTGGATTCTGTCACACTGGTCCTTGACACACGTACAGGAGCTTCTCCTCACGTGCTTCCCACAAGGAGAGCCATCCACAAGGCACTCAGACACCATTCCCTGGAACACAGCCATGGTTTCCACCATAGGTATATGTGTGTATGTGAGAGGAGGGGACAGCCAGGTTCTGCTGGAGCTTTGAGTGTTTGTCTCCGGGTCTGGAGTGTTAGAGTGTTATAGAACACAAATTCTGAAAACGAGGTTCCATGTTTGTGAGCCCTAGGAGCCTTGAGTCCACTATATTGATCCGGCTCTAGTCCCTTATATCAGGCAATGCTGAGAACTAATGGGTCACTCGTAACTTTCTGTATCTTTTTCATGCTTATATTTAAGATGATATTTGGGTACTTAGCAATGGCTCAGTGCTTGCCTTGTGAACACAAGACCTGGTTCTATCATCAGACTGCACCTAAAAGAGACAGGCATATGTGCTTATGATCCAAGAAACTGGAAGGTGGAGACAGGTGGATCTCTGGGGAGTTTCTGGCTTGCCAGCCTAGCCTACTTGATGAGTTCCAAGCTGGTGAGAGACACTGTCTCAAAAAGCCAAATTGGATTGTGCCTGAGAACCCAGAGTCATGGTTTTCTTCTGATCTCGGGTGTGGTGGTTTTCTGGCCTCCACATGCTTGAGCACGTAGATGCACACACATCTAACCACAGGCACACACACACATACACACACATAGATGACATCTAGATGGAGGTGCCTCCTGCCTGCTCTGGCCCCCTCCCACTCAATTTCTGGTCCTGTGTGTTTGAGTTGAGGTGATATGTAATGTGGGGAGAGGATTCGTGCCTCTCTCTGGAGGGGGTGACTGCTTTTAAGTAAGCTTTCCAGTGAGAGACAGACCGTAGGCAAGCTCACTAATTGTGGCAACACAGTGCAGCCTGTTGAAGATGCTGCCAACAGCTCAGAAGGAAGCAGGAGAGCTGACAGTTCCCACCGTGCCTTTTCATAACTGGGTAGCTCTTCTTTTCAGTGCCGAACACTACAGCTCCAGTCTGGGTATGCGCCAGTTAATCTACTCACCTCCTAAGGACTGTCTTAGTTGCTTCTAAGTTTTTAGAATCATGAGTAAACACGTAATGGTTTCTGCATGAACACAAGTATTCAATTTATGTTGCGTTTAGACTGGCTCTATCCCATTGTAATGTGTTCTTGACAATGCTCTCATTTCCATCATCTGGTTCAATGGCTTCCATCCAAATGTATTTACATCCAAATATGTGTCCATGTACTCAGACCATAATCAAAACAAGGAATGGTTGTACACAGAGGAAGTCCCCTCCTGCCTGCTGTCCTGCAGCCCTGACAGTGGCTTTGGGTTGATCTGGTTTCTTTTGTAAATCACTTTTTAAGACTTATTCAGAATGGTTGTAGTATTTAAAGTTTTGTAGCCAGGCAAAGAGTGGCAGGGCATGCCTACAATCCTAACACTTGGGGAGGCTGAGGCAGGAGGATTGCTGTGAGTTTGAGGCCAGGCTGGGATATATAGTAGGTATCTTATCACGCTGGCCTATAGAGCAAGATCATGTCCCAAAACAATGGTTTTATGGGGCGCTGGATGACTGCAACTGTTGTCTGGTCTGAGGTGTGCGCTGTGCTCCAAATCGTCCTCCATTTGTGACCAAATGCTGAGGTCTGAGTGACCCTGGGACAGTTCCTAGATCACTGTCTGACCTTAGCCCGCCTCTCTCTGGCGAGGTGGTGGGTGTACCTGTATCCTTCAACCTTCGTAAGGCCAGCTGTGTCTGCTTGCAAACGATCACCACAGCTGGGCATACTGACTGCAGACACCCCTCCTAGAAGGAGGGGCAGGGAGGATTACTGGGCCCTCACTTGAGTGTACAGCCATCCCTCCACCCCCCGGCCAGGTGTATACAATTCTGCCCTAATTGCGTGTAGCCTCAGGTTCCTAAGGAGAGGCTGGCGCAATAGCTGAGGTGAACAGGGGAAAGGGGGTTCTATTTAGACAGCCATGAGGGAAGCCATCATCCATTTTGGGTGGAGACCTTCCGGCGTGACTGTGTCAAGGCCACCTACTACACTCTATTAATGGGCCTAATAAACTCATTGGGTCCCTAGGCTGAACTTTGTTGGAATAGAACTTTGAAGGAGAAGGTAGTCATTGGTTACCCTCCCCCTGGAGAGAATCTGTCAGACACTTGGGGATGGTGGGGGCGGGGCTGGGGAGTCCCATTGTAGGTGTGTCTGCACCTGTGTGCTGCATCCAGCAGGTGCTCTTGATTGTGTGGAAGCACTGATGGTGGCAGATGACAC